CGCTAATTTCGGTACGATGAATCCGATTCTGCCAAAATATTCCCATGTTTAAAGGAAACTTTACAAAATCATACGTAGGCAGGAAATCTGAAATAATTTGTCACGTTTGTCTATTGTGAGAAGCCTTACTTTTATACTGATAATATTCCATGATTTTGGCATTACTTTTTTAAATTTGATTTTTAAATTCCAACATTGTTTGGTAGTATTTCTTGAAAATAATCCAGTTAAATGAACATAATTTCATTTTACAATTTAATGGCTTTGGATTCCAACATTTTGAATATATGTCATTCATAAATGGCTTAGGCAGTATGACTTTCAAAATACTAAAATACTTATTGTGGAGTCATAAAACAATAACAATGTCAAATTATCAAATAACATCACGTTACTGATAGCTTTTTAGAACATTTTTTATGCTATTATTTATATTTTTCCTGGTACTTTTTATTTACATGCACATTGCACATAAATTATTTATTTATTTTCGTCATTTATTTCAATTGTGCTATCCTTACAAGCGCCTACATGCCGAAAAGAAAGTAAGCGCTTAACCACAAGAAAGAATAAAAATTATTAAAGATTGAGTAAGCAAAAATCATATTTGGGGCACTCCCATACAACATTTCGGATTTATTTATGTTTGCAGTAATTTAATCACCGTGAAAACTTTTTCATACATTTTATTCAGACGTCAAAATATATTTGCTGATTTTTAATTAATTTTTAAAAAAATATTCATGTGAGTTTCAAAATTCGTTTCCAGAATTGTAATACGTCCATGAAAATATGAAAAAACTCATTCGAAGCTATCGCTCAAATATTGCATTTAGTGTTATGCGATCTATCGTTTTCCGAATACGGTATTCGAAGGTATATTGAAGTTTGATGATTTATTTTACTTTCGATTTCAAAGTTATTCAGTTTGCGTTTGATTCAGTTTCAATTTCTAAGATGAAAGTGTCTGTTGACTCTATGATTCTTTTAACAAGTTTACAACTTTTGACTCAAGGCGACATCAACTCCGGTTTTAATTTCCCTAGTAAATGAACTTAAACAATTTCTTTTAAACTACGATTCATTTGAGTAAAGATTGAATGTACTATTTATTACCGGCATCGATTTCATGTGGTGTTTCATTTTATATGTCTTTCGCATCTGCTCCATTATCGATCAAGAACTGTTTTATTGCCTTGTAGCCTATAAATTGAAAATAAATAAATAAAATAAAGATGAACTTTTCCGCACTGTGATCTAGAACATGCCTTCATTACATATATTTCACTGTGAATTTAAATTCACGAGAAAACTGAATCTGATATTAGTTTGTGAATCTTGTTTTCGTGCCAAAATATATAATCTCACCAAATTTGAAATAATTTCAAAAGCACGGCTTTTTTAGCATAAAAGCACGGCTTCCATACAAAAATTTGTGATTTTTCAAAGAAACTCTGTTAAAACTTGATTTATTGCGTATAAGGTACAGCGTAGAGCGTACAGGCAGACATTATATTGAGTTATTTTCAGCGAGATGAATGAGCTCAGCCAGATAACGTCAGGAGCTGAAATGGAGTGAAAGCAATAAAAGTGATTGTCATAGCGATTGTAGCAATGTAAGTGTAATTATAGCCATAATAATCACTTCTATTGTTTTCACTCAATTTCAGTGCCTGATATCGTTGCTGAGCTAATTCATCTGGCTGAAAATATCTCAATATAATGTCTGCGTACAAGGTACACACATACGTTCGGACATCGAAAAAACGTCTGATTCATTCTCTGCCCCTCGAAAACATCCAAAAAACACTCTAATACTTTATCTTACGCACTAGGTGTGTGCGGAAAAGTAAAACTAGTTAAATTTTACCCAGGCTGTGTGTTCGGTATAATTTCAGCAGGCACTGATATTTCTAGCGGATCGCTATGCTGTGCCTACATGCAAATTATGTGACGCATAGTATGCCGAAAGGAATAACGTAAAGAGTGCACTATGTATATTGAGAATATCAACAGTTATCTTAGCTGATAATGCTTCATATTTCTGGTTTTTAAACATATAGATAATTACCTTCTCGAGATGCCCAGTGAAGTGGTGTATAATTATATTCATCTCTAGAATTCACATCAGCTCCATGTTCGACAAGATATTTGACAATCTGCATTTTACCTGTAAAATGTGCGAAGTTCTTATGAAAAAGCTTTTCTTTTAAATGAATTCATTGAAAATTACCACTTAGAGCAGCCAAAGACAATGGAGTATAGTTTCCGTCAGTTGTAGCATTTATATTTGCTCCATGTTCAACTAAATAACTGAACATTTCATATTTGCCTGAAATTTTATAGAAATAAATAGTTGGCGATCCGACCATATTATTTCCATTTTCAAAACCTATATAATATATATAGGTCAGTAGTGTGCGGAGGGGGAGGGTTTACTAGGGTTTTTTGCCTCAAAAAATGACTTCAAAAAAAAAAACGAAAATTTGTCTGATTTGCTAGAGAATTTCTTGGTTTCGAAAAATCATCCCCCTGAAAAATTTTCCTCGCACACTACTGATATAGGCCAAATAATCAATAATTACGATATCGAGCGGCGTTATGGAGTGGCGTCCAATTATAAGAATCTGCGGCATTTACGTTTGCTCCATGAGTGATTAGGTATTCAACCATTTCCAATTTTCCTAAAATATCAAAGAGAGAAACAGTTGGCTTAACTACTTTGGCGATCCCGCTTGATATTTTCAGTTTTCAAAGATATAGACAATTACCATCTCGAGATGCCCAGTGAAGTGGTGTATAATTATATTTATCTCTAGAATTCACATCAGCTCCGCGTTCGACAAGATATTTTACAATCTGCACGTTACCTGTAAAATATACGAAGTTCTTATGAAACAACTCTTTTTTCTAAATTAGTCGATTGAAAATTACCATTCCGAACAGCCAAAGACAAAGTTGTATAGTTTTCGACAGTTGTAGCATTTATATTAGCTCCATGATCAACTAAATAACTGAACATTCCATATTTGCCTGAAATTTTGTAGAAATAAATAGTTGGCGATCCGACCATATTATTTCCATTTTCAAAACCTATATATAGGTCAGTAGTGTGCGGAGGGGGAGGGTTTACTAGGGTTTCTCGTCTCAAAAAGTGACTTCAAAAAAAAAAAACGAAAATA